CAGTTTAGATGACAGAGTGAGATTCCAACTTAAAAAAAAAAAAAAAAAAAAAAAGAATGCCATAGTCAGCCAGGCTCCATGGCTCAGCCTGTAATCCCGTGCTTTGGGAGGCTGAGGTGAGTGGATTGCCTGAGCCTGCGGTTTTGAGACCCACCTGGGCAACTTGGCGAGAACTCATTGCTACAATAAATCAAAAAATCAGTTGGGCATGGTAGTGCATGCCTGTAATTCCAGCTACTCAGAAGGCTGCAGCAGAAGGATCACCGGAGCCCAGCAGGTTGAGGCTGCTGTGGCCAGGAGCGGCCACTGCACTCCAGTTCGGGCAACAGAGTGAGACTCCACCTCAAAAAAAAAAAAAAGAATGCCATAGTCATGTAGTAGCTTAAAAGTAAAAGAATGGCAAGAAAATAAATAAAAGGTATATAAATTAGAAAGGAAGAAGTAAAACTGCTCATATTCACAGATGACATGTTGTCTCCCTAAGACAATCCCAAGGAAACTGCATAAGACACCTAGAACTAATTAAGTGAGGTTAGCATGGGAAGAAAGGTGAACACACAAAAATCCATTGTATTTTTCTTTTTTTTGAGTTAGAGTCTCATTGTGTCTCCCAGGCTGGAGTGCAGGAGCACGCTCACAGCCACCACAGCCTCGATCTGCTGGGCTAAGGCTATCCTTCTACCTCAGCCTTCCAAGTACCTGGAACTAAAGGCACACACCTGGTTAATTTTTTGATTTATTGTAGAGATGAGGGCTCACCAAGTTGCCCAGGCTGGTCTTGAACCCATGGGCTCAGGCAATCTTCTCACGTTGGCCTCTCAAAGTGCTGGGATTATAGGCGTGAGCCACCACGCCCAGCCTCATCTTAATTTTCTAAATTGACCTATAGATGTAATGTGATTCCAGTCAACATCCTAGTAGGGTTCCTTATAGATACAAACAGGTTGATTCTAAAATGTATAAGGAAAAGCAAAAAAAAAAAAAGAATAAAAAAACTTTGAAAAATAATTAAGTTGGAGGAATCATAGTATTTAATTGTAAAGCGTCCTATAACTCTACAATAATTAAGAAATGGGGTATTAGTGAAGAAACAGATGCATATATTCAGGGAACAAAATAGAGAGCCAGAAATAAACCCACATAAATATAGCCAATTCCTTTTTTTTTTTTTTTGAGTTGGATTCTCACTCTGTCACCAGTCTCAACCTACTGGGCTCAGGTGATCCTTCCACCTCAGCTTTCCAAGTAGCTGGAAACACAGGTGTGCACCATCACACTCAGCTAATTTTTTAATTTGTTGTAGGGACAAGGTCTTGCCAAGGTGCCTAGGTTGATCTCAAACCCCTGGACTCAGACGATCCTCTAGTCACCTCCCAAAGTGCTGGGATTACAGGTTGAGCCACTGCGCCTGGCTGCCAATTCATTTTTGTAGATGTAAAAAAAAAAAATCGGTGGAGAAAGGAGAGTTTCTTTTTTTTTGAGTTGGAGTCTTACTCTGTTACTCAGACTGGAGTGCAGTGGCCGCCCCCGGCCACTGCAGCCTCGACCTGCTGGGCTCTGGCGATCCTTCCACCTCTGC